AAAAAAAAAAAAAAAAAAAAATTATAGTTAGTCCAAAATTATTGAGTATATTTTGCAATTTATCTTTCGAAATATTTTAATTTTCATCTTCAATAAATAAATATATATAAAAATATATATGAATTTCTCTAAAATAACTAAAATAAAAACCTTACCAGGTACATGTAATCGTCATGGCCCCATGACATGAACACGTTGTCCAATCCACACCCTTCATCGTAAACTCCGAATTTGGTATTATAAGCTGGATTATGGTAGTCGGGATTTTCCTTGAAATACTATAAAATAAAATTTAAAATTTTTCAAGAGTTATATATAACCTTATAATATTAAGCATTTTATTAATTCAATAATTCACTATTTAATTTCATGAAACTTAAATAGACTAATAAGTAAATTATTAGATAGATAAGGACCTTGTGATGCACAATGGAACCATCGAATGCACAGCCAACAGGATAAGTATCACCTACACATAAATAATAACACAATGTTTCTCATTTTTTAAATAAATAATAAAAACAAGAAGAAAAAAAAATATCAATTTTATTAACAACATTTAAATTAGTCGATTTGACTAGCTGATTAAATTAGTTGATTAAATTAACTGATTAAGTTAGTTGATTTGGCAAGCTGAGTAATGTTATTGTTGGTAAAATTAGCTGATAAGCTAACTTATAATTTATCAGTAATTTTTGAACTTATAGCTTAGCTGAAAAGCTAGTTTATATGATAAAAGTGTTTGGTAAAAATTAACTGATAAGCTAGATGGAATAAAAAATTCAACTAGTTTATTTGAAAAACAACATAAAGAAGCTTATCAAATAAGCTCGAGTTTTTTTAAAAAAAACTCGTCCTACCAAATGAAACTTATTTAAATACATAGAGCTTATAAGCTAATCAAATAAGTTATAGCTAGTTTATTTGTCTACCAAACATAGCCTAAATTAGTTGATTACATTAATTGATTTGACTAGCTGATTAAATTAGTTGATTAAATTGATCTAGCTTACCTACAACAGCCCATTGTGGAAGCTCACCAAATTGAGGGAGAAGAAGGACCTTCCCAAGATCTAAACCACACAATTCGAAGCACCAAATTAAATTAGGATTATCTAATAAAAATTAGTAGTAAATAGAATCAGTAATGCTAAGGAGTCAACAGTTGGCTCCGTTATGGAGCCAACAACCAATTAGACAACTCTATGTGGGGCAGTCCCAAATTAAAGTATTGTGGGACAGTCCCACCTGAAGTTGTCTCATTGGTTATTGGCTCCGTAACGGAACCAACTGTTGGCTCTTTAGCATTATTGTAAATAGCATTATTGTAAATAGAATTTACATAATTAAATAATTTTACCATGGATAAGGGCAGTTAAATGAAGCCAATCCTCATTAGGATAATCTTTTCTTATAGCCTCAGCAGTTTGTAACAAATGTTCAATTTGAGGCTCATCTAAATCAGGGTCACTCTCATCAACAACACTGTTGAGCAGCTCACAACATTCCCAAATACTCATTTCAATTTTGTCCAATTTTCCATATTCTTCCCTCATTTTCTTCACCTAATAATAAAATTTATTTTTTTAGAAAAAAAAAATAGATGGTTTTTTTTTTATTTAAAATTGGAAAAAAAGAAAAGAAAAAAATATATAATATTGTTCAATTATTACTTACAAACTCAAGAGTTTGGTTGATGTGATTGGTCTTGTAAAAAATTTCCACACCTTCTTGCCTCTCACTTTCAGCCTCATAATCCCTGTTTTTTTTTTTCAAGGTAAATATCGAGATTTATTCAACCAATGTCAAGGAATCGAAAGATCCCAAAAAAAGAAAAGAAAAGGACGGCATATAGTCCGTCCAAAGAAACAAGTCAGACGCCCCTAAAGCCCATTTAGCTAGCTCATGAGCAATAACATTATTAGTTCTAACAATATGACTACAAACACCACAATTCAAGGATGACAAAAGGATGACAAAAGATTGATAATATCTTCGAAAACATGTTGCAACGTATCATTTGGAAGGCGCTCAGTAATCCCTGTTTAACAGTTTACAAAAATTAAGATTTTTTTTTTCAATAAGGATTTAAAAAATATAAATCATAATTTTTATTGGGCTTTAGCAATATGGGTTACAATAGCCTACTTACAAATATATACCAGGCCTTGGGCCCAAAGAATAGAATTTACTCAGGCCCATATCTGCTTGTAAATGGAATTACTATAAAACATTTTCTTGAAGGGTTATTGTGTAAATCAGATCTCTCTCTATCTTATTTGTTTATTTATTTTTTTATTTATTTTTGGTCAAAATGATAAAAACACGAAATTTAAAAAAGCATATATATATTTATTTTTCTTTTAATTTTACCGGGTCTAAATTAAATGTGCACAACAGTCACTGTAGCAATTTTTACTGGCAATTTTTTTTT